TCATCCATCAAACTCAGAAGCAAGAGCTCCGCAAGCTGTACGCGGTGAGTTATTATCTTTTCATGTAGTACGAGAGTAATGGTCTGTGAAGATATTTGCGCGAGGTGCATATTCATGATCGGTAATGTTCAGAAGTCGCAACACAAACCCATCGATCTTCGTAAGAAAAAGACTCGTGCTATCCGACGAAGGCTGACGGCTCATGAACAAAGTCTCCGCACGGCTAAGCAGCTGAAGAAGCAGAGAGCTTTCCCTATGCGTAGATACGCTGTTAAGGCTTGAAGTGTGTTATATTTCTACTGTTACGTAAAATGAATTGTTGATTTTGGTAATCTTTTTTGTACATGCGGACCAAAGAGAGAAATCGTGGTATGGTGACAGGGATTGGTGCGAGCTATAGTCACGATCGGTTTTTAGAGAAAGTTGGTGATCTGGATGAGTAGCAATTGCTTTTCTGAAGGCACTGCATGCGATGAAAATGGTTCTTAGAATTCTTTCTTAGGATGTACCAGTGGACTGCAAGAAGGCAAAGAATTTCGTACAAGTTCTTCCTTACTACTTTTTCTAAGTCTTGTGTTTCCTAAGTTCCGCCAACTTTCGAGCTTTTTCGTTATTTTCCACTATTCTGCAAAATAACTTCCATTATTATAGTAAAGAAAGATAGCTTAGAATTACCATGAGCCATGCCTTTGAGTTTATCTGTAATGGAAACGTTCCGAACTGTTACACGCTTCCGAAGTAACCCTATTCTGACTACGGGCTCCAACGAGCCTCGGCATGATTTAGCTTGATATGATTTTGTGTTCAACTCTCCCAAAAGTCAGTCAATAAAGTAGTAACAATCTCGTGAGGGTTGAACACAAAAGTAACCCTGTTGTTATTTTTTCTGCTGATGAGGTAGATGGCTTTGTTTCGTTGATGTGATTGTTAGTGGATTATCGATTATTTATTGCCGTTGGTCCTGAATTAACAATAGCATGATGTATTTCATTGAGGTTAGAGTTTCACATCATCGTCTTCATTGAGAACGTTTTCCGGCGACTTGTTCCTCATGAAGCCGCTCTGAAAATAGTTTTTAATTACATTTTGTAAAGGAAATTCTTGGAGGGGTTAGGATATCATGCAAAGAAGCCAGAAAGATCGCCGTTATCGACAAGATAAATACGGATGTTTCTACTTTTACAAGTGCAAACATCCTTAAGTTCCTCTTCTTTGATGAACGGGAACAAAGGAAAAGACAAACCAACCGTTCCAAATCCTGGAAGAAATAAAGCTCCAGGTTGTTGAATGGAATTCTTCTTGTTGTCAGATCGTTTTGATGGTGGTGATGCGATTATGTCAAGTGAAGTACGATCTGATAGCGCTGGACTACATATCCTTAACAGGAGTATTCAACGTTGATACAACGAAATTGAATATATCATTGGTGCAACTCAATTCGGAGGATTTCTTGGACCATCTGCTTGTTGATTTGTTGCTGAATCTCTGGTGTATTGGCCTGTTTTTTTGGACATTTTTCACCGAAAAAGTCGAAGTCGGGGTAAAACCAGGTGGCGCGCTGCTACAAGCACATTCTGGGGCGGAAGTCCCAGGCTAATATCTGTTTGGGCCAACAAACTTCTCCATTTGCAGGGGCGGTCAACCTGTACAAGTCATATATGGGAATATGAAATCGTTGAATTAGGTCAAAATTGAAGTTGAACGCCAAGACAGCCTTTTGGAAGGGCCGCCAAAATCGGTTCAGCCCGACGTGCACACCCAAATGGAGCGATTTGGTGAATTCGGTAAGCGTTGTAGGATGCATGGATGTTTACAAAACATGCTAACAACAATGAGATTTTCAGCTAACCCTGCTCGCCGTCCTCTTTTATATCGCGTTGGTGCGTTGTTGCAGCTTTCCTGAATCAATTCCGAATCAGTCTTATCGCTAAGCGATCCCTGAAACTTTTCGGCTCAGAAATTGATCTGTCAACTCCAGGACACGTCTTACTCCACAAAAGTTCAGGAGGCTTCGAATTTTGTATCGATTGAATGTGCGCTCGTCTCGCTTAGCCATGTAGACGACAATCGAGAAAAGTGCCGCTAGCTCCGTTAGGAGGAACGAGCTCTGAAGGTTTGGTTTGATCCTTCAGAAGTCAAACAGATCTCAAAACTCACCTTGAGTAGGATAAACGAGAATCCATATTCGAAATGGAACAGCGGATCATCCATTTCGCTGGCAGGATGAATTTTGTTACCGACCTCCTTCGATACCGCTGACATGAAGACGATAATACAAAGGAAGTTGGCTATACCTGAACACCATAGATTTGTGCTACCCATTCTGAAGATTTTCGCTGGTAATTTTGCCCTCCAAAGGAATAGCGTCTACCGTACCTGCATTTATATGAATGACGGTGGAAACGAACAAAGAAGTGTATGGAGTGGGCAGTAGAATGCAAATGGTGGCCATAACCAGTCCAGCTATATCCAAAGCCATACCAATCATCATGATAATGAAAGCACGTCTTATGGACTCTGAACAGAATGGGAAACTGTCCTCCTTTGATGTCAATCCGACAAGACAAAGTTACTGGTGATGTGGAGGGGTTGGGGAGCGGCCATGCTCTTGCTGAGATGCGAAAAGGAGCATTTCCTCATGGGAGTAGCTGTTCTTCTCAAGGGTGTATGAGCTGTGCGACAAAGTCAGGAGCCCCGTAAATGTGCAAGGGAGAGCAGGACGGAATATGTTGCGAAGGTTTTATCTCCGTGTGCAGTTGGCATGATCTCACTGCTTCACCTCTC